TAGTCCCGCCTTAGGCATGAAATCCAGCTGGGTGACTTTGGGCCAATCACCAGGAGACGGAGAGTTCTAGTCCCGCCTTAGGCATGAAAGAGAACTGGGTGACTTTGGGCCAATCACCAGGAGACGGAGAGTTCTAGTCCCGCCTTAGGCATGAAAGCCGGCCGGGTGACTTTGGGCCAATCACCAGGAGACGGAGAGTTCTAGTCCCGCCTTGGGCATGAAAGCCAGCTGGGTGAATTTAGACCAATCACCAGGAGACGGGGAGTTCTAGTCCCGCCTTAGGCATGAAAACCAGCTGGGTGACTTTGGGCCAATCACCAGAAGACGGTGAGTTCTAGTCCCGCCTCAGGCAAGAAAGCCACCTGGGTGACTTTGGGCCAGTCTCTCCCTCTCTCTCTCACTCCATCCCACCTCACAGGGAGGTCGTTGTGGGGAAAATAGGAAGACAATTGGAGATTGCTACCTTAGTTATTGGTAAAAATAAGAAAGGGGGACACAAATAATTGATAGATAAATAAATAAAAACAAGGTCGGGCGTTTTATCTCTGCCTGGCCCTGAATGTCCACCAGAGACCTCAGCCGGGGGGGGGCTTGTCCCACAGGACGCCCTGGGCTCCTAAGCAGGCCGTAAAGCGGGACAAATTCTCAGCGGCCCAACCTCGTTAATCTCGCCGTCGTCCGGAGACTCGTTGTAGTCGTTCATCTCGTCCATGTCCTGCATGTCCTCATCGTCCTCGGAGTCCTCCTCGCTGTCCTCGTCATCCTCATCATCCTCTTCCTCCTCCTCGTCATAAGTCTGCTAAGGCAAAGCGGAGAGGCGGCCATCGTCAGAGCACTGCGGAAAGGCACAGTGGTCGGAAGGCGGCATTGCAGGCCGACTCTGCCTTCCCACAGCCGCAGTTCGATCCCGACCGGCTCAGGGTCAACTCAGCCTTCCAAAGTCACTCAAATGAGGACCCAGATTGTTGGGGGGGCCACAGGCTGACTCTGAAAACCGCTTAGAGAGGGCTGTAAAGCACTGTGAAGCGGTATATAAGTCTAAGTGCTATTGCTAAGCGGAAAGGAAAGGGAAAGGAAGGGAAGGAAAAGGGAACAGAATAGAATAGAATTGAATAGAATATAGAATAGAATTACAAAATGGAATAAGAATAGAATAGAATAGAATAGAATAGAATGGAGTAGAAATAAGAATAGAATAGAATAGAATAGAATAGAATAGAATAGAATAGAATAGAATAGAGTGGAGTGGAGTGGAGTGGAGTAGAAATAAGAATAGAATAGAATAGAACAGAATGGAATGGAATGGAATAGAATAGAATAGAATTAAGAATAGAGTGGAGTAGAGTAGAGTAGAGTAGAAATAAAAATAGAAATAGAATAGAATAGAATTAAGAATAGAGTAGAGTAGAAATAAAAATAGAATAGAATAGAATAGAATTAGGAATAGAATAGAATAGAGTGGAGTGGAGTAGAAATAAAAATAGAATAGAATAATAGAATAGAGTAGAATTACAGAAGATAATAGAACAGAACAGAGTAGACTAGAGTAGAAATAAGAACAGAACAGAATAGAGTAGAGTAGAATAGAAATAAGAATAGAATAGAATAGAATAGAATAGAATAATAACGGAGATAAAGCAGGAATGGTTAAATTGATCAATTTATTCAAAGAGGAGAATATATTTAAGTATGTTTTTTACTTGGATATCACTTCTGGATTTTGTGCTTGTGATGGAAAAAAAATGAAATCTTGACTTTGGTTTTGTCGATTAGACATATCGTTATCCAAATGGCTGGTTATATATTAAGATGTAAAAGCAAAAAGTTGAGGCTAGAGTGTTTTTTTATCTTGTACTATGCTAAAAGCAGTCAAAAGTCAACGCCTTTTCTTTTTTTTTTTCCTCTTGTGTACCTCACATTTTCTTTTGCCTTCCCCTAATCCCTTATTTCTATTTTTCTTTGTATTTTACATATTAAATGCATTTTTTAAAAAAAAGTTACAGATCCCCCTCCAACTGCTCAGCTGATTTCCAGGGCTGAATGGGGCTCTTACCTCTGAGGCTGGCTTTCCAATTGGCACCAAATTATTGTCTTTTTCAGCTATGCTCTGCAGCTAAAGAGAAGAGAAAAGCCAGGAATGGGTTTTAGAAGGAAACACAAGATTTGCTGGGAGAAGGGGGAGAAAAGGATGGCGCACACACACACACACACTCACCCAGGCCTGGTGCTGCTGCTCCTGCTGCTGCAGTTCGTTCTCATCCACGCAAGGCCGGTCCAAGTTGAACCACAGAGCCTCGGTGACGCGCGGGAAGAGGGAAGGGAAGAGGGTGGACATGGCTTCCCTGGGGGGGTCAGAAAGAAGGGCTTAATTGTGGAAGCCAGGAACTGCAAATTGAGCATTGTTTTATTGCTTTAAATCTGTGTTTCTTAAGTTTGGTGGCTTTACCGTGGGTGGACTTCAACTCCCAGAATTCCCCAGCCAGCATAGTCCACCCACGGTAAAGCTGCCAAACTTGAAAAACACTATTTTTAATGGTCATTTTCTGGAGGAAAAAGAAGATGGGATAATAATAATAATAATAATAAAGTTGGAAGGGACCGTGGAGGTCATCTAGTCCAACCCTCTGCTCAGGCAGAAAACCCTATACCATTTCAGACAAATGGCTGTCCAGTCTCTTCTTTAAACTGGATTGATGGATGGATGGACCCAGCTACAGAAGCGGTGGAGAAGGAGGGATTTTAAAAAAAATCTAGTAAGTAAATGGATGAAATAGGCTCCATGTCATTCAATGCTATAATAATAATAATAATAATAATAATAATAATAATAATAATAATAATAATAGTAGTAGTAGTAGTAGTAGTAGTAGTAGTAGTAGTAGTAGTAGTAGTGGTAATAATAAAGTTGGAAGGGACCTTGGAGGTCATCTAGTCCAACCCCCTACTCTTAATTTATCTACTTTGTCATTTTATACCTGATGGTTTTTAATGTGTGTGTTTTTTTAAATGTTGCAGTGCTGTAGCCGCCCAGAATCGCTTGATAGGGCAAATAAATTTCATAATAAATAAAATAAATGGATTTCAACTTAATTTTCAAAACCAGCTTTCAACTCGGGGCTCCACAAGGGAGTTAAGGCGCCTCCAAGGAGCTCGAGGGTCCCTCCGGGCCGTCCAGGCGCCCCTTCAAGCTCCCCTCCCTTCATTTGCCCCGAAACAACAACCCTGCGAGGTAGGCCGGCCCCAAAGACAAATCACCCGGGCGCTTCCGGATTCGGAGGCGGGCCTTCCGGTCGCTTCCCGCACTGGGCGTTCGCCGGCGCCCAGAGAGCCTCACCTGCTACCGGAGGAGGCTGAAAGCCGGGAGAAGCGAGACCGGAAGTGCTCCCGCCGCGACCCGGAAGCGATCTCTTTTAGGATGCTGGAGAACCATGGGGAAAAACAGAGCCGGAAGTTCTTCCGTCGCTCTAGGAAGCCTTTTGAAGCGGTACTTCCGGTCCCTGGTTTCCAACGCGAAGAGCTACCACAAAGTTGATATGTCCTAGAGCGACACTCCCAGCTCGACATCACGTGTGCTTTCCAAGCGCCCTCCCTTTTGGGATGTCTATCCCAGGCTTGCAAAGTAGGCACTGCGCATGCGCACAAAGGGACGCTTGTCTGTCCATGCATCGCCCGGGCAGCGCACAGTGCGCCTGCGCAAGAAGCCACGTGCGTCTCCCAAGCAAAAGATTTGAAAGAGAAGAGAGAAAAGATTTTGCAACCTGGCGCCCTCCGCCCGCCCGGCTCAGCAACCGTGAAGAAAAGTCATAAAATGGGGTAATACTCACTTAACAACTGTCTCGCTTAGCAACAAAAATTTGGGGCTTCATTGTAAAAAGTTGAGGACTACTTAGGAGAAATTTCCTGATAGTGAGAACAATTAACCAGTGGAACCACCTGCCTCCAGAAGCTGTGAATGCTCCAACACTGGAAGTTTTTAAGAAGAAACTGAACAGCCATTTGTCTGAAATGGCATAGGGTTTCCTGCCTGAGCAGGGGGTTGGACTAGATGACCTCCAAGGTCCCTTCCAACTCTATTATTATTGTTGTTGTTGTTGTTACCTATACTTGATCTCTCTGATTCTCTCTCAGAAGAAATTCAGATCTGAGTCAGCTTTTCCAAGAAAACACAGGACAACTGCCTGAAACAGAGGTAGAATAGAGCTGGAAGGGACCTTGGGGGTCTTCTAGTCCAGCCCCCTGCTCAAGCAGGAAGTTTATTCAAAAGCAAAAAAAGAAAACAAAAAGGTGAAGTTTATTTGACAGCAAAACAGTAATCAAAGGTGGCTACAGGGGGAAAAAAGGCTGCTATTTTTTATAGAGAAATGCATCTTTTGTCACTAGAAACCTGCCTGAACCTGGCCCAAAATCTAGGGATTG